ATTCAGATTCGAGAAGTTACAGGCCAAATTAGACAAAATGGTTTGGATATTATTGATCCTCGTCTCAAGACGAAGAGAATGACATTGGTCCCGCCGGAATCGGAAAAAGTTCATTTTCCGGCGACTTTGACCGGCGGGCGGCGGCGGCGGGGCCTAGAAGAAAAGAAAAGAAGAAATGGGGTCAAATTGAAAATTTTAAAATATATAAAATTCGAATTTGGCCCTAATGACCGGAAGTTAACCTAGAAACGGGCTAATGGCTCATTAGTGATTGTGTAAGTTCAGGGATTTTTGTGAAAGGATTTGAAGTTTAGGTACCACTTCGAAATTCCAGCTAAAGTTCAGGTATCATTGGTGAAATTTACCTAGCAATATCATAGAATGACCTCGTATTGTACTCTGCCCAGTATTATATAACTCGAGACAATTTCTACCTTTCCTACCCTGGCCCTAAGTCCCTAACCTCAACTCAGACCCCTCCCTCCACCCAGTTACACTCGCAAATTTTGTTGACTTGATGTAGGAATAATAGTAAGAGGGAGTAAGATTTGACGGGACGCGGTGGGTTGACTTTGACGAAGGAGCAGTGGTCTGCAGTCGTCGTCTTGTCTTTACTCTTCATGGATTGGTCCGGTCATCCCTCCCTCCCTCCATTGTTGAATTTGTGGCGCGCTGCGGGCTCCATTATTTGTTTATAATTTATTAGCTCCGATCCTCATGTATATCCGGCCGGTCCTCATTAATTATATTGCCTGCTTCATTCTTGTTTCTAGCTGCTTGCTTGCTAGTTCGATTTGGATTACAACGTAACTCAGTTACATTAATTAATTGATTAGCCATTAATCACCATAACAATTCAAGCAAGATAATATATAGAAAAGGCCGGAAATTAAAACAAGAAAGAAAGAAAGAGAGTATACGTTTTACTTTGAGAAGCTGAGGGAGATTCTAATTAATTAATTAATAATATGGGAAGTTGCTGGAGTTCTGCTGCTTCGGATGATCAGAGGCTAGCTGCTGCTGCTGCAGGGCATCTCACTTCTGCTTCTTCTTCTTCATCATCATCTGGTATGCATATATGTACTCTTGTGGCTTGTCGTATATATACTACGGTACTATACTATACTATACTCGGTGTATAACTGTGTGTGTGTGTGTGTGGTGCACTCATATATTCAGGGGTCTTGTTCGATATGATTATATATTCTCTCTGAGGTTGAAGTAGAGAACAGAAGAATAAGTTTAAAAAAAATCCTTCTCCCTCTAGCTAGCTCTCTCTTTCACGTTTTAGTCTCTTACCTCATTCTCTGTATCTATACTTCAATCATCAATTTGATCTTTTAAATATGTGGTGGATAGATGAATGAGTAAATATAATTATATGTAGTACGGAGTAGATAAATCTAATTAAAGGGTCATTTTCGGTGTAATTAATGCAGCAGCAACAGCGGGGATTTCACACCCGATTAGCGACCTGACGACGGCATCTTCATCGTTGGCTACAACCGGCTCCGGTGGGACAAGCGGTGGTAGTCGGTTCTCTACAGCAGTGGGAGCTTCTTCCGGAGGCAGCGGCAAACATGACCACCCACTGTCGTCGTCTGAAGAGGGTCAGATACTTCCCCACCCCAATTTGAGAGTCTTCACTTTTGCCGAGCTCAGGGCTGCCACCAGAAACTTCAGGAATGACACATTGCTGGGAGAGGGCGGTTTCGGCAAGGTTCACAAGGGTTGGCTGCTTGACACCAGGGGCGGGGGCAACTCCTCCTCCTCCTCTTCCTCCAAGAGCGGTGGCAGTGGAACCGCCATTGCCGTGAAGAAGTTGAGTTCTGAGAGTTTGCAAGGCTACGAGGAGTGGGAGGTATATATAATATAATATATATATATATATATATTTCCCTTATTAATTAACTGCTAGTTTTAAAATTTTGGATGGGATCGAAGTTGATGCATATATGTTTGTTTAATTGCAATACTTTGCAGTCAGAAGTCAATTTTCTGGGGTGTCTATCCCATCCGAACCTAGTGAAGCTCATAGGGTACGGATGGGATGAGAGAGAATTGCTGCTTGTATATGAATTTATGCAGAAAGGAAGCCTAGAGAATCATCTCTTTGGAAGTAAGAATTCTTCGATTTGACAAATAACTATTAGCACTACGTACGTACGTACGTAATGAATTAAGTTATTAGAAGATGAATAATGATGGATGGGTGTTTTTGAATTGGTTAGGGGGTAGTGCAGTTCAGCCGCTCCCATGGGAGATAAGGTTAAGAATCCTGATCGGTGCTGCTCGTGGTCTGGCCTTCCTTCACACTTCAGAGAAGCAAGTCATCTATAGAGATTTCAAGGCCTCTAACATTTTACTTGATGGCGTACGTGCCTAATTAATTACCTGCTTATCCTCTATATGTTATGCATTCGTTGTTTAATTTATTATAGCTCTATAGTGCTAGCTAGCTATATAGCTCTCCATCAATCAATCCCTCCCCTCACTGCCCTATTCTTTTTTTTAATTCCATGCATCATCCATCCAGTCATATAATGCCAAGATTTCGGACTTTGGTCTGGCAAAGTATGGACCTTCAGCTAGCCAATCACATTTGACAACTCGGGTTATGGGGACTGAAGGCTATGCTGCCCCTGAGTACGTTGCAACAGGTAGGTAGTATATATGACTCAAATTGCATCATATACGCACACTGCATTGATCTTATATATGACTCAAATTCCATCTTCTTTCTCAAAAGCTAAGAAAAATCAGATGAGAGAGTAATATAATGGGTGGTTGCTAATTAATATACATACTATACTATAATTGGGTGCTTGCTTGGTGTGCCGCAGGTCACCTGTATGTGAAGAGTGATGTGTATGGGTTTGGCATGGTTCTGGTAGAAATGCTTACAGGTTTGAGGGCTATAGACCCCAATCGTCCAAGGGAACAACAAACTCTGGTGAACTGGATTAGGCCACATCTGGCAAACAGGAGGAAGTTGAAGGATAGGATGGATTCTCGATTGGGAGGAAGGTATCCTTCAGGAGCTGCACTCCAGATTGCCCAACTGGCTCTTTCCTGTTTGGGATCTGAGCCTAAGATGAGACCTTCCATGAAACAAGTAGTGCAGACCCTTGAACAAATCGAGTCCACAAATGAGAGACCCAAAGAGCCAATAAGGCGACCAGCAAGGCCCGCGATTGCTGAAGCTAGCAGGAGGCATCAACATCGATCACAACAACAACAACACAACTACTAATCATCCATCATAGGATCCAACTAATACCTCTCCATGCTATGTAAACATCCATGAATGACTTCCCCCACTTGTACATGAAATCACTCGCCCAATTTTGTTCCGAGTGTCTCATGTTCGGTCACTTGTAGTTGTTTTGATGGTATAATGTAAATGAAGAAATCACACAAAGTAGGAATAAAACATATATAGATTTATTCCCAAGATAAGAGTGCCTTGTTTTTATTTCTAAAACTAAAATTATTGCCTTGTTATAATGTGACAATTTACATTTTGTATCTCACAATGAGTTTGGTATATTATATGTTGATACTATTGACATTATGTTTTATTTTGAAATAAAAACATTATTGACATTATGTCATAATTAATTCAGAAAAATCCTCCTAATTTAACTTCAGTCAAGAAAAAAAACATTTTTCTATGGGTAAATGTTACCATAGAACATAAACCTCTGCCTACTCCAAGGACTAGTGAGTGCCTCGCCAGTAGTTTGGATTGAAAGCAAAACGAACTAAAATGCGTGGCAGTATGTTTTGCTTGGTTTCGCAAATAAAGAAATCGTGCGCAGAAGGGAAATGGCAAGACGTTCTTTTACACTACCAATCACTACGGAGGGCAGGCATCCAGGTGACTGACATCTCAGCATTCCCTCCCATTCTCAAGGCCTGCTTAAACCTCTCCCTCTCCTCCACTTATGGCGCCTCCTTCCACGCATCTCTCCTCAAGCTTGGCTTCGCCGAAGCGTTCGCCCCCGTGGGGAATTCCATCGTTGATTTTTACTCCAAATCCGGACGTTTGGGTGCTTCCGTGCGTGCTTTCCAGTCCTTGGCCAAACCTGATTCCGTGTCCTGGAATGTAATCATCCACGCTCACCTTCACCAGGGCGCTTCTCCTCGGGAAGGGTTGAGATTGTTTGATCAGGCGCGCGCTGCTGGCTTTCAGCCCAACGTCTCTGCGCTGGTTCTTGTGTTTCAGACTTGTAGGAATCTCGCGTCTTTCCACCATGGACAAAAGATTCACAGCTTCTTGGTTCGAAGTGGGTTCGGAACTGTATGCTCCGTGCAGAACTCGCTGCTGAGTTTCTATGCAGAGCTCAGGATGGAACTTGCGTGGGAGCTGTTCGATGAAATGAGTGAGAGAGATGTAGTTTCTTGGAGTGTGGTTATTGGGGGTCTTGTTGGGAGTGGAGACGCTGCCCTTGCTCTTGAATTGTTCAAGGAGATGTTATGTGATTGGGGGATTAGAGCGGATGACCGAATAGTTGTGAGTGTGCTCAAGGGCTGTAGCCTTTTGGGGGACATTAGAATGGGATCACTGGTACATGGTCTTGTGACGTCTAGAGGTTTGGGCCAAGATTTGTTTGTTGGGAACTCTCTGGTTGACATGTATTCCAAGTGTAATGACATGGGTTCTGCCTTACAAGCCTTCGGTGAGATCCCTCTCAAGAATACAGTGTCCTGGAACTCCCTGTTGTATGGACTTGTCCAAAGCGGCAATCATGGGGACGCTCTTCTCCTGTTTGATTCCATGGGTAAGTCTGGAGCAGAAGCCGATGAGGTAACATTAGTAAATCTACTTCAGGTATGCAAGCATCTTGGTGATCCTTATCCGTGCAAGTTGATACATTCCAGAATATTCCGACTAGGTTATGAGTGGAACGAGTTGGTTATGAATTCTGTACTTGATGCTTACGCCAGGCACGGACTCATTACACTTGTTTGGAGACAGTTTAGTAGCATGGGAAGACGGGATGCGGTGACCTGGAGCACCATGATCGCAGCCTTCACTAATCAAGGCATGCCCGATGAAGCATTTGATGTCTTTCAAGAGATGTGCAGTAAATCAGTAAAGCCCAATGCAATTACCCTGCTCAATCTTCTAGAGGCTTGCTCTATTACAGCTGATCTGAGAAGATCAATGTGGGCTCATGCAATTGCTATTAGAAGATGCGTGGCCTCCGAAGTTGCAGTTGGGACTGCAATATTGGATATGTACTCAAAATGTGGAGCAATAGAAGCTTCGAGAAAAGTATTTGAATGCATACATTGCAAGAACATCATTTCCTGGAGTGCTATGATCGCAGCATTTGGAATGAACGGACTATCAAATGATGCTTTAGCCTGTTTCAATGAGATGAAACTGCATGGGCTGAAGCCCAACCAAGTAACCCTTCTTTCTGTGCTTTCAGCATGTAGCCATGGAGGGCTGATTGAAAATGGGATCTCTCTCTTTAAAAAGTCAGTGCATGATCTTGAAGGTGAATTGGAGGCAGAACATTACTCATGCCTTATTGATCTGCTGGCTAGGGCCGGAAAGGTTGAAAGTGCAAGAGAAATAATCGAGAGGCTACCTCAAGATGGAAAAAAGCCCGGTAAAAGTGCGTGGTATGCAATCTTAAGTGCCTGCAGAATTCATGAGAACAATGAGATTGGATTTGGTGTTCTCCCTCAGCTCCTTGAATTAGAACCAACAAACACATCTGCATGTTCGCTCGCTTCAAGCATGTACGCTTTTAGTCATTTGTGGACTGATGCCACCAGAATGAGATGGATGATGAATGATAGAAAGGGTACGGGGACCGAAGGCGCTTACAGTTTACTACGTATAGATGGAAGGACATGTAAGTTCTTTGCAGGCAATAACCGTAGCTCGTTGCCAGATAAACTGTGCCTAGCTATTGCACAACTGCACTCATGTATAAAATTTGATTGTGGAGTGTAATGCTATCACAATTTTCAAGTAGAAGATGATGGAGGAGCTTGAAATTGAAGGTAGTACGAAACAGATCTCTTTCTTACACTTTTGTTCGAACAATTTACCAATTTAGGTCTTTAATTTTCCTTACGTTTTCCCTTATGTGCCACTGCAGGAATATATCTTTATTAAGTGGAGCTGTAGCCGGTGCTCTATGTATTTTTTGTATCTTCAATGCCCAAGAAAATGAATCCATACTGCTAAGCGGAGTGCATAGAGTGTCTGATTGCATGTCTTTTAGACAACCAGTGGATATATATACTCTATACATTCTTCAAGATCAAAGAAACTTAGTTGGATGGCACCCTCGACTGAATCTTTTGAATGGAGTGGCCTACCTCTTGAGGTGCTGTCTGCATTGCTTTCAAAGTTTTAGGCGTCTCAATAGTGAATTTCATGAAGATCAAAGGTAACCTTTCACCAATAAACATACAAGTACAAATGTAAAGGAAGGTGGAGAAATGTTGCATATAACATTAAAAAACAGATAATGTTGCTCTCATTAAAATCATACCCACCACACACCTAACCAAAATCATCCTCTAATTATTAATTTTTAGTTTTTTTACTAGTATATGGGGAATTTTGTTTTAAACTCTGACTTTTAACTAAGAGTTGCGGTTTCCAATGTTGTATAGATTGATCGAGATTAAAACAAAATTCCCTATATACTAGTAAAAAAGCTAAAAATTAATCGAGCTTGAATTAGTAATGTGTAGCTGATCATCTCTAGTGCATTTTGCGGGTCTGTCCTTCCTAGGTGGCTTATGAGAGAGTTATTATTTTTCGTTTAATATGAATGTAGAGATGCAGGAAAAATGAAAAGATGTAATCTGATAATTGATTCTATTGAACCATACCACAGTTGACAGGAGGAGCAACACCAAACGCATACAATAGTTTTAGCATAATATAATTAGTACAATTAAGAGAAATCAGGCCAGCTGAGCACGGTGACTAGGTAACTTCTGAGATAGATTAGATAAAAACTACCCCACCCCTAACAAAGAGAGTCTGTATAGTATTTATGGTTAGAACGACTAAACTAGTGCGTGCTTAGAGAGCCAATCTTAACTCCAAATTAGGCAGAGCAGAGGGGGCAGAGTTGTGAAGATCAGGTAGTACTAGTGACGATGAAGAATGGTGATGATGTTCTTGTTTTGGCCGTGGTGTGGCTGTAGGAAAGTTCAAATCCAGGTAGCCAGTGGTGACTTTATTGGGATGAGGAGGAAACTTATTGAGCCCCCAGTGGCACCGCTTGTGTCCACCAAGAGCCTGGCCGCTAGAGAAGACCTTCAAACAGATGGTGCACGTGTGCACCTCTTCCTCATCCTCCCCTGGCAGTTGCTGCTGGATGGGACTCGGATTCTGGTGGCCCTGGTCACCGTTAGACAGCAGCAACAAGCACGCTGCAACCTCATAGTCATCGCCATCTCCTCCGCGGCAACAGAGACTGCTAGTGCTGCTGCTCTGAGGAGACATGGTGGTGGTGGTGTTTGGTGGAGGAGGAGGGTTGATGCCGCGCCAATGCCTTTCCGGATGGCAGCGCATGTGCCCATAAAGAGCCTTCCTCGACCAGAACCTCTTGCCGCACTCCGTGCACTGCTGTAGTGATGAGTCGGCGGCGGCGCTTGTAGGGTCCTTGCACTTGTTCGCCACAAGTGGTCCCCGGCCACCGAGGCACGGCAACTTCTGAGTCTCCTCGGCTGCACTCATCACCATCATCGTTTTGCTTCTCCTCCTCCTCCTCCTCTTTATGGGTGGTGGTTTCTCCTGGGGCTGAGGCGTGTGCGGCTCGTTATAATCTTGATCACCATGGCCGCCTCCGCCGCCAATAATACATCTTCCTCCCAGCAGCAGACGATCAGTACTATTAGACATATTAACTATAAAGGGGTTAGGATTACCAGCATTGTGATGATGATTATTGTAATAATAATCCCCGCCATGGGTCGTCGTCATGTCTCCCTGTTTACTCGATCGTGGATGAAGATTATATTAATTGCTGGAGAGAAAGAAAGAAATTAAAGAAAAAAAGGCGAAAGAGATGGGGTATGTCTTCCTTATATAATACTCCGTATTACGTACGGAGTAATAGTAAGAAGGTGGAGGGGAAGATTTGTTTGCAGCGGTTACTAGCAGCTCTCTCTCTCTCTCTCTCTCTCTCTCGTCTCTATCCCCTCAATAATCATTTCCACGCACGTACTCGTGCATTATAAGAAAATAAAATACTTAACGTGCTTAATTACTACTCCCACGTTGATTATGAACGTGCCTCGATCGATTAATTTAAACAGATTCAATTGAAAACGTTTTTAAAAAAAATAATAAAATTAGTAGTTATACTCTCTAGTTCTCTGTTAGTTTTGTCGTTCTTATCTCCAGCAGAGGATGGGAGGAGGGATAAAGGTTGCGGCGAAAGTGTAGGAGGATGTTCCGGAGACACAATCCCATAATATGTGGAGCGGCCGGCAATTAATTACCAGATAATTACTACTCCTGTGTGGGTGGGTAATAACGGCTATGGTTAACTTACAGATTTAATTTTTTTTTTTAAATAATCGTTCCTACTGTTTTTTTAAGGGTAGTTAGTTATAGAATTCAACCTTTTGCTTCCTAATCAGTTTCTTCTATTTAATTCAAACAATATTATTCCTTCTGGTTAGATAAAAGCTCTTAATTTAGAATCTATTGTACCATGCACAAATTGTATTAATCGCGTGTGACTGGTTCAATTCTAAAATATCAAACAGTTAATTTTTGAATCTAATATATGATTGATAAACACAAAAGTGAATTGTACAATTGTGATACATAAAAAATATGGTATTCATATTCAAAACCTCTAATTTATACACTTGACACAAAATTGGCTACAAAGAAAAAAAAAGTCACTTGAAGGACACTTTTACTCACATTTTAGACATTATTTTCTATAATTGTTGGGATAGCACTTTATTTTAGACATTTGACTTGTAATCCTTTTTTATTAACGTTGTCGTTTTAGATAAAATTTTAATTATATAGATTAACTTTCTAACTTTTAATATTATTGTTAAACAAATCCATTATATATAAACCACCCTAATTTATATAAAAAACAACCTTAAATCTAGTCATTGCAATTTTTTCGATTCATATTATAAATTTAATTAATACAAAAAATACAATTCCAATTAGCTATTAAGGTATGTAATTATAAATTTGTAAGATTATGAATTGACATGTGTCTCGTTTGAATTTCTTACGAAACTCTAATTAAAAAATTGATGGTTTTATCTATGGTAAACCCCTCAACTCAGTATGACCCGAACCTTCCTCCTTCAATTGTATCTTACAACGTTTAGTTGACTTTAGAGTTTGTTTTTTACTTTAAAATTAACTAAATCTTGTAGGTTGTAATTGATGGGGTGAGAGTGTGTCCAGATACACGAGTTGGCTAGGAGTTAGGGAATACTCTCTCTATTCCATAAACTCTTTCTCTTTTCTTTTTTCTTTGTCCAAAAAAATTTATTCTCATTTTTATTAAAGAACTATTTTTACCCATATTAATTCATACAATATCTATCAGAATAGAACATACCTTTTTATCAATAATCTACCCATTACATTTTACTTTTAGCTATCATTTTAGGCTTTTTTTTGGAAAATCAACCAAAAATATCTCTGACGTAGGAAGTATTTGTTGAGTATAAATTCTATAATTGGTACTTTATAACAGGAGGGTTTCCCTATTTAGTTCTCTATTATCAAATATTACCCAAGTGGTCCTTCTTTTATAGGTACCTTTCCACAAATAATCCTTTTTTTGATCTTCTATCATGTTGGTGTTAATTTGAGGGCTAAAAGTGTAATTTCACAATGATAATATATCTTTTTTGTCATACACAATTCCAAAGGCTATTCCATTTGCATCGTTTGTGAATTATAGTCACTTTTTACGATAACTATAGTCTACAAATGTGATCTTTCGTCAGAATCCTAGCCCACAATTATAGTCATTATTTTTGTGTTATCCGCTTAACCAATATCAGAATACGTCACTAGACATAATGTTGATGTCAAATTACACTTTTAGTCTTTAAACTAACACCAACATGGCAGAAGATCAAAAAAGGACCATTTGTAGAGAGGTATCCTTAAAAAAAGGACTACGGGGGTAATATTTGATAATAGAAGACTAAATATGGAAACCTCCCTATTTTGAAAGACTAATTATGGAATTTAATCAGAAATAAATTATCTACTCCGTACATAATTTGAGTGCAAAAGATGAAATATACTAGTATAGCTCTAAGGCCCTCCTTTGCCGCCTTTGTTTTCTTTTTATTCCAGGCTCAAGCCGCCGCTGTTTTACTTCCCGCTGCAACGCTCCATCACCGGAATCCTTCTTCCGCCCTATATATGGTCGCCGCCTGCCATCTTTTCACTCTTCCTTAATTTTGACATATACGCAATAGTTGCCGGAATTCATACCCCGTCGTTACTCTCTCTCTATCTGCTCGACCTTGTTCGGCCACTACTCCATAATCCCCACCGCCTCACTGCTGGACTGCTTGTATTATTTTTGTTTGATATCAGCACAACCGATCGGATTGTGAATGGCTCTAACACTATTGAGTGGTAGCTCTAGGGCGTCATCATTCTATGCGCCACAAAATAATGGCATTTTACCACGGGAATTGACCAAGGGATTTTAAGCGCGTAAGATACCGACAAATATTGAGAACACCAGGAAAATGAGAGAACAAACACAAGAAGAATATATGAGAGAAAAAAATTATATTTCCACTATTTCAGGACAATATACAAAAAACTCTCCTCTGTTTACAAGGCTAAATTCCAGACACTTATAAACAGATCTTTCCACATCCTATGCCCGGATGTATTTTTCCGAGTAACTAAAACTAGTTACTCCCTACACTCACCCACACTCACCAAAACCCCTTGGATTTTCCCGGTGGTATTCTTGTGTAGAATTCC